TTTTTTCTTTCGACCGTTGACAACGTTTTGACCCTCAGGTGGCATAGGCCGACTGTGACCGTTGATAACTGCCTATTATCGTGCCTGCATTTGGCCAGGAAAGAGCTTATAATGCATTCATGATGATCAGGAGTTATACTCGGGGGAATAAGGCACAGTACCCGTACCTAACTTACCACCTAGCCTTCGGTACGTGGCTGTGCGTCTGGCTGGTCAGCACTTTCCTCGAATAGAAGCGCGGGCAGTGTTGACAATGGCGTTGATGACCTTGACTTTGAAATCCCGATCCCGCCCTTCAGTATCTTCATCAGATCGCTACACGCAGTGTCACGCACTGAAAAACTCAGAATGAAAAAAATAAAAGAGGGAGAAAAAAAGGAGCAAAAAAAGGCTACGCTTTGCTATTCGGGGGTTCCAGAGGGCTTAGAGGGGGGTGCGAACTGATCTGAACGTTAGTTACCCCCGCACAATGATGATGACGATTATCCCCTAAGGTTGTTATGGATAATGAAAACCGAAAAAAAAAAAAAAAGCTTCCTGTTGATGATTGATTCTGATTACTAATGCTTTATAAAAACAGTTTGTCACAGCCCCTCGTTTGCCTACGGTTTAACGGGTATACATATGTGTATCGTCAAATAGAACTGCCTACGGTAAACCGTAGGCAGAGAGGGAGAAGAGGACAACAAACGAGGGGCTGTGACAAACTGTTTCGTCGGAGTTTCACCGACTCATCAGGAGGCTGTATATATATATATATATATTCATACAATTATATATACATATATATAATGTATGTATGTATGTATGTTTATAGTCGTTGATGGTTAACCACAACCGGGGTTCAGATGGATTATACTTACAGTGTAATCAGTTAGGGGATTCTGCAGACTGTTCACTGTGTTCAGGGTTCAGCCTCCTGATGCGTCGGTGAAACTCCACGAAACAGTTTGTCACAGCCCCTCGTTTGTTGTCCTCTTCTCCCTCTCTGCCTACGGCTTACCGGCAGCTCTGTTTGACGATACATATGACGATATATATATACATATAATATTATATATATATTTATTTTTTTGTTCTGCTCGATAATGGCCCTTGCCATTGATGACCCTTGGTTTCCACAATGCGCAACGTGGCGCTCTCTGGTTGAGCGTCCAAGAGAGAGAGAGAGAGAGAGAGAGAGAGAGAGAGAGAGAGAGAGAGAGAGAGAGAGAGAGAGAGAATATTCACTGTTCATAAATGCGGTGAAAAAAAGCCGTCTTTCTCAGGAAGTCTGGAATACCATCACATCGTTCTATATTTGAAAAAAAATAAGAATGTAAAAAAAAAAACAAGAAAATACAAGCTTTATCCAATAGCGTCCCCCCCCCCCCCAACACTCACACAATGAAAAGGGTTGATGAGCCAACAGAACCAATTTCTAAAGGTTATTAGAACGAAACAAATCAAATGTGCAGTACCTGAATTGCCTATGTTACACGTCAACGTCTCGAATAGAACGCACGGTCATGAAACGCTTTATCTGGACCGAATGTCGCCCCAAATACAGCTGCAATGACAGGGCTTTCTGTTCGGAGGGAAACGGTATGGAGTTCAAGTCCCATCCAGAACCTGAGGGGCTATGGGTGACACCGCTTTTCCAGAACACCTACCCCCCCCCGCCCCCCCACATTCAGATACCGAACCGGAGCCCTCCCCTGCAACCCTCTCTTGCAACCACCGTCAGAAATCGAACCCGAGATCGAATCCAATTAATCAAAATAGGCAAATGACATAAGTAAGGCTTAGCAGATTAACACCTCCATGACCGGAGCTCAATTCAACCAACACGAACTGCCACCTAAAACACTTCCCGAACCCCAACCGCAGCCCCAAACCGAACCCAAACCGGAACCGGAATGAGAAGAGAGAACTGAAAACTGAGAGCATTGGAAGCCGGTTAATGACGCAAGGGTTAGGACATTAACACATCCCAAACAGGAGCTCAATGTGAACAACACAAACTGGAACCTCCAGCAGTTCCCCAACCAGAACCGGAACCCCGAACTGGAACCCAAACCGGAACCTAAACCGGAACCCAAACCGGAACCCAAACCGGAACCAAAAAAAAGCGAAGCCAAACCAGAACTCAGACATTAACACCTCCCTGACAGGATCTCAATTCCAAACTAAAGCAGTTCCCGAACCGGAAGCCCGAACCCGAACCCAAAGCGGAACCCAAAGCGGAACCCAAAGCGGAACCCAAAGCGGAACCCAAAGCGGAACCAAAAGCGGAACCAAAAAAAACGGAAGCCAAACCAGAACTGAAACATTAACACCTCCCTGACAGGAGCTCAATTCCAACCTGAAGCAGTTCCCAAACCCTAAGCCCTAAGCCCTAAACCCTAAACCCAAACCGGAACCCAAACATGAACACCGCTCAATTCAGACAACACAAACTGGAACCTAAACCAGTTCCCGACCCATCGGAGCCAGAACCCGAACCGGAGCCCCAACTGGAACCCCAACCGGAAGAGAGAACATTGGAAGCCGAGTAACGACATTCACACCTCCCTGAAAGGAGGTCCATTCAAACAGCACAAACTGGAACCTAAAGCAGTTTCCAAACCGGAACCGGAACCGGAACCGGAACCGGAACCGGAACCAGAACCGGAACCGGAACCGGAACCGGAACCAGAACCAGAACCGGAACGGAAACCAGAACTGGAACCAGAACCGGAACCTCAATGGGAACAGGGAACATTGGAAGCCGAGTAACAGTTCCTGAACCGGAACCCGGACAAGAAACCAAACCTGAACCGGAACCCAAACCGGAGCCTGAGAACACTGGAAGTGGAATACAGTAGGAGTGAATACAAATGGGAAAACTACACAGGGCTCCGGTCCCCTTCGAATTTTTTTTTATAATAAAAACGCTTTTATATTTATTCCCTTGGATTTGGCTACAGATCTCGAGATGGAAAAGATTTTTGTATTGCAATGTTGCATAGCATATCTTTTTTCCAGATTCTTTTGGACTTTTTTTAAGCCGGATTTCTTTGGGGCTAGGGGTCGGTGAATGGAACCGGACACCAGACCCACACCATCTGCTCTGCGACTCGCATGTCCGGATCGTAACCGTGCTTCTCTCGGTGAATGGAACCGGACATCCAGACCCACACCGCCACACCGGCTGCACTGCGACTCGCAACTCCGGATCGTAACCGTGCTTCTCATCTGCTACATTTGCCTAAGTGTTTTTTATTTTATTTTTAATTTTTTATTTATTATAATTCGCCTCCTAACTGTTGCCACTTGGCTAATAAAAGTTGCACTGTATTCACCGAAGCCCAAGCCGAACCCGAACCAAGTGGGTCTTTTTAAAAACTGGAACCCAAACCAGAACCCTGAATCTAAATGAAACCCAAACCAGAACCACAACCAGAACCCGAACCAGAATCAGAATCAGAACCACAACCAGAACCAGAAGTGTGAGTGGAATTTTAACTGGAACATGGAACGCGGAATCTAAATGGAACCCAAACCCTAAACCACAACCAGAATCAAAACCAGAATCAAAACCAGAACCAGAACTAGAACCAGAACTGTGAGCGGAATTTGAACTAGAACTGGGAACCCCGAATCTAAATGGAAGCCAAACCTGAACCAGACCCCGAACCCGAACCAGAACCCGAACCAGAATCAGAATCAGAACCCGTAGTGGAACTTTGACTGGATCGAGAAGCGAAGCCAGCCCGAACCAGAAACACAACCGGGACTCAGTTTTTTTTTTTTTTTTTTTTTTTTTT